GGTTTGGGGGGGATTTGGGACAGTTTGGGGGGATTTGGGATGGTTTGGGCGGTGATTTTTGGAATTTCGGGGGGATTTCGGGCTATTTTGGGCTCTCACTGTGGGTTTGTCATAGAAGAGGAGCCCTGGGTGTGTTTAGGATGGATTTAGGGTGTGTTTGGGTTCTCACCATGAGTTTATCATAGAAGGGGAATCCCTGGGTGTGTTTAGGATGGATTTAGGGTGGATTTAGGGTGGATTTATGATGGATTTAGGGTGTGTTTGGGCTCTCACCATGGGTTTATCTCTCACCAGGGTTTATCGCAGAAGGGGAAGCCCTGGCTGTGTTTAGGGTGGATTTAGGATGGATTTAGGGTGGATTCGGGCTCTCACCATGGGTTTATCATAGAAAGGGGAGCCCTGGGTGTGTTTAGAGTGTGTTTAGGATGGATTTACGGTGGATTTAGGATGGATTTAGGGTGGATTTAGGATGCATTTAGGGTGGATTCAGGCTCTCACCATGGGTTTATCGTAGAAGGGGAAGCCCTGGCTGTGTTTAGGATGGATTTAAGGTGTGTTTAGGATGGATTTAGGCTCTCACCATGGGTTTATCATAAAAAGGGAAGCCCTGCATGGAGCGCAGGGCGTTGCCGGCGCTGCTGAGCTCCTTGAAGATGACGAAGGCCTGGCCCCGCATGCGCAGGCTGCGCGACACCAGGATGTCCAGGATCTGCCCGAACTGCGAGAAGATGGCGTACAGCGACTTCTTCAGCTCTGGGGGGGCACGGGGGGTCAGACAGCCCTCACAGAGCCCCTGGGACCCCCACACAGCCCCAGGACCCTCACACAGCCCTCACAGAGCCCCCGGGACCCCCACACAGCCCTCAGAGAGCCCCCGGGACCCCCATATGGCCCTCAGAGAGCCCCCGGGACCCCCACACAGCCCTCACACAGCCCCTGGGACCCTCACACAGCCCCAGGACCCTCACACAGTCCCAGGACCCCCACACAGTCCCAGGACCCTCACATAGCCCTCAGAGAGCCCCCGGGACCCTCACACACCCCTCAGACCCCCCTCAGAGAGCCCCTAGGACCCTCAAACATCCCTCAGATGGCCCCAGGACCCTCACACAGCCCTCAGAGAGCCCCTGGGACCCCCACACGGCCCTCAGACACCCCCTGGGACCCCCAAACCCCTCACACAGCCCTGGGACCCTCAGATACCCCTCATACAGCCCTGGGACCCTCACACACCTCTCACACACCCTCTGAGACCCCCAAACCCCTCACACCCCCCCAGGACCCTCAATGTCCTCCGGGACCCCTCAGAGACCCCCTCAGTTCAGGACGTGCCCAAATTGGGAGAAAATCCCACAGAGCGGCTTTATCAGCTGGGGGGGGGGACAGGAGACCCCTCAGACACCTCCAGGACCCCCCAAACCCCCTCCAGGACCCCCAAACCCCCTCCAGGGCCCCCCAAATCCCTTCCAGGACCCCCCAAACCCCCTCCAAGACCCCCCAAATCCCTTCCAGGGCCCTCCAAACCCCCTCCAGGACCCCCCAAACCCCCTCCAGGGCCCCCCAAATCCGTTCCAGGACCCCTCAAAC